TATTTATTTTAGTTTTTGCTTAATGATGCTGTTTTGACCAACTATAGTGCATTGATTACATTACATTGACAAATGTAGATTGACATTTACCTCTCCTCCACTATGTAGGGCAAGCGCCTGCAGGACATAAAACCCAGTCAAAAACATAAAATAAAAAGTGTGCATTGTGTTTCAGCTACGTCAAGGTAACGTCATAATGTGGCAAAGTGCTGTCCCGTTCCCGTTTACAGCATGCAAGCTTGCACTCAGTCACTTACCAGGTGAAGTTACTTAAGTCTGTGAGGGTTCAGGACTTAGGCTTTAGGGGTGACATTGGGATTGGACCTATGAGAGGGTATGATTGAACCCAAACAGGATCCAGTTGCAAAGCTAAAAAGCTGAATAACTCACTATAAAGCTTCAAAAAGACAGAGGAGACGCGGAGTTGGGTGATAATTCTCGGTAGGTTTATCTATGCAAACGACACTTTTGTCATATTGTCACAATTGTTTGTCACGCTGTCATTTGATATACTGTGATTATAAAAATTTTACTCTGCAGGACGTTAGCTTAGCTTAGCATAAGCATACGGAAAGCAGGGGGAAATAGTCAGCAAATTAGCCCTCAGCTCTGGGTCCATACTTAAAGCACAGTTATGAGAGTGCTGCCAACATTTTCCTCTAACAGTCGGCAAGAAACCAAACAAGCATATTACCCAAAGTCATTTAGACAAATACTGTTCTTTGTCCTGTGTGGACAGTGTCATATATTGAAACACACATACGCTTTAATTACTTGTTAAATTAAATGTATGGGGTTGATTGTTCTTAGGTAGTTTGTATGATGCTTTGGCAATATTGTTGTTACACATTCATGCCAATAAAACTAATTTGAATTGAATTGAATTATTGAGCACCGAATGCCCTTTGAGGACACTTATTTGAATTTTAAAAATAAAAGCTGAGAGGTGATTAAACCAAGTAAGATACAAACATCTGAACCCTCAAGCAGCGTTCATTTTAACAAAATACTGACTTGAAAAATGACTCACAAGTCTTTTAATTTACTGTCCTGAAGCAATAGGATGGGGTGATTTTTCTAGTTGGCCTTGTGTTTATACGCATCCATGGCCAGGGGCAGTCCGTGTCTCATCATCTGGCCTGGCACAAAGTTAGTTAGAACACATTTCCTACTTCATTTCATTGCTGCATTGCACCAAAATCTCTTGGGCTGCTTTATGTCGCTGTGGAGCCCCGACGCTTACGTTCAAATGATAGATCTCAACTGATGTTTTATCTAATCCGGCAGAGCAAAGGTGAGCAGAAACACCATACATCAACTTGCCAAAGTCCATTTGGGCACTTAACCCAGTCTAAACACCTCAGTGTATGCTTATCACTCCGGGCACTGCAGATACAAATAGAATAGCATGTAAAACCTAATATAGAAAAGATTTTTTATTTTTATTTGCTGATAGACACAATCATATCCCAAGCATATATGACTGTATCGTATCTTCTTTCCACTATTGACATTGTGATATTGACATATGATATTGAGTGCTACTAGAGTGCTGTTATTTCAAGGCATGTTATAGAGATATTTCCTCTTTGGCTAACTGAAACTATAGACAATTATGCTGAACATGTCAGTTATCATTTCACAGATTACGTCATTACTCTTCAGCTTGTTTTGCATTTGTGTTAGTGTTTTTGGTTAGCAGATGCCACTGACTGCTATTCATCTTGAGGTTACAGTTAACAAGAGGCATTAAATAGGTACTGCATCATTTATAGGTCTTGAAATTATTATTTTTTTTACACCAATCCATATCCAAATTCTTTAATATTGGGTATAGCTACAAAACCAAATTCGATCCGATACTTACATTTGGATAACACCTGACAGCTTCTAAATGCAGCACACCTTATTTTTCATGAGCTACTTGATCCAAAAACTGAGAGCCCTGGTTCAACGCTCATTACTTTTATAAGCTAAAATGACTGATATATGGTATGAATGAAATTGAATGTGACCCATGACATTGATGTGACGCGTTCTGCTAGACGTACTACTCTGTTAGAGTTTTCGGGACAAAAAAACTGTTTGTTTTTTGCAATATGTTAATCCCAGACATTAATGAAAGAAGATGAAGAGTATATCAGATCAGTGTTTTCTAGTCAAATGGCAAGCCATGAAAATGCTACTTCATGTGTTTTGCATGTGTAGTATATTTTTGCTCTGAACTATAATGTGAGGGCCCAAAGGTTGCTGGTGTTTCTCCTGCAGCCGTCTTTGGGCCTGATGTGTTGACAGGTCTTCTGAGAGGCCATGCCATTGTCACAGTGGAGAGGGCCTAAGGGGACTCAGTCATATAGGCTGATATGTATTCCCAGCCTAGAAACATGACCCAGAAATGAACAAATCCTGACAGAAAACATGGCCACAAGAGCCAAATTTCAAAGAATGCTATATTTCTGAATGCTTAATACATAAATGATGTCGGGTATGAATAATATTTATTTAATTTGACATAATACAGTTATATTTGACTTGACACAAATGTGCATACCACATTCAATGCAAGCCTGTAATTAGAATAAAATTATATAAAACAAAACAATGCAATAACACAAATAGTGCTGCAAAACAATGCATGAATAATTTAGTAAGAATTTTGAATTTCACTATTTAAACAGTAACAAAGCAATAATGACAAAATTTTATACAGAATTTCAGTATTAACTCATGTGTGATGAAAAGAAGGTGCAGCAATTAAGTTCCTGCATTCAACAAGAATTGTAACTGGATAATATGTTAACATTTTGCATTCTTGCAGTTAGATGAGAAGATTGATACCACTCTCATGTCTGTGCATAAACCATGACGCTGCAGCCAGCCAGCTTAGCTTAACATTAAGACTGCAAGGAGGGAGCAAAAGCTGGTCTGGCTTTGTCCAAAGGAGAAAAAATCTTCCTAGCAGCTTCTCTAAAGCTCACTAAACAACGTTCGTTCAAAAAAAGTTATTAAAATTAAACCAGTGGTTTTACGGAGTTATGTGTCATGCTATGTCTTTGCTGGGTGCAATGACTTTCTGGAATGACTCGGGTAATCACAACATTGACATATTACACAAACACACAAACATTAGCATTCACATTGGAGACGTGTTTCAGGTGCACTAATACATGTAAGTCAAATATTCGCTGTCCTTTTAACTCTCTTTTTGGCCTCCACCAAACCCTGAGGGAAATATCTGTCTCATTAGCTGCTAAATGCTCCACTATGTTCACCAGCTAGTTTCCAACTATGTCTGTCTGTGTTGCTGAAAACAATTGCCTAGTGTGGGTGAAAATGATGATCCTGATTTCAGCACCTGGATCAAATGCCTTCTGTCTGATGCTAAGGGTCACTGATGATGTTCTTTGTGCTTCCACAACTTGTTTTGTTCTGTACGGATGAGAGAGGAGCCAGAGATGCACTCATGCATTTCATCACCTTTTGCAAACCACTGCACCAAGTCCAAACTCTAGTGTTGTGAAGGTTAAGGGTGTCACCATAACTTTTTCAGACTGCTGCTGTCTTTTCCTGCACAATGCAGAGATGTTACAGGCCCTGAGCGGCCATTAATGTGTCTGGTGGTACTCTTAATGAGTACAGTAATGACAACTTGTCTTACCGACTGATGTCCCCACTCAATGCTTCAAGGTGTTTCATCCATAAGGGTTGGTTCATCACAGTCCATGATTAGACCTACCTGTCCTGTCATCACCAAACTAATAATGGGAGGAAAGAGCCCATCAATAGACTGACTACAAATCACTAGAAGACTCTAGTTTGTGTGTTATATTATATATTCTGAGTGCCACTGTCCTGGAAATACTCCAGAAATACTTTTAGTCTTAATTAAATGGAATTCTGTTTTGGGATTGCAGTTTTTAGTTGGCAAACTTGGTTGGCCGACAGCTAACAGACTTATTGCCATTACAGTATATTGCTTTTTTGCAATCAATCACAGTTGTTTCAACATATTTTCAATCTACTTGGATAATTGATGTTCTTGATGGGTTAAAAGCAGCTGTTTTTCTCTGTGTAATTTAAAGCTAGTAGGCACATGTAGTTGTGTTACAGTTTGAAAAAGATTATTATTTGTGGACAAAATGTCAGGGACTAATCTTTTAAGGGTACTGTACCCATTTTTCACTAAAGTTCTAGAAAATTTGTCTCTATTTCTAAACAATCAACAACACATGCAGGTTAAGTACACCTGCTGCATACATCCAAACATAAGATCCCTGCAATAAATCTAACCTTGGCGAAGCTCATCATATTATTATACTAAAATGTGCTTATTCAACTCTTTTTTAGGTGTCACTGACTTTGCATCAACTCACTGTTTTTTGAAGATAATAAAACTTATTTGATGCACACATCTGTGGTTCTTTCAGATTACTATTAAAATATCAAAGACTAAAATCATTTGATCATTTTTAGTCTGAAAAGGCTCAGTGAGATTCCACAGTTTTTTCTTCTTTGTCGCCATTTGTTATTCCCCTCTAAGTAAAGCATTAATAGATTACAGTTTGTATCTGCTTCAGTGAGAAGTTGGGCTCAGTGTCAAAATGTTCTTTTGAAGTTCTTTTCAGTGTGCGAAGAAATACTGCTGTCAAGAATTTGTGACAGACAGCCTTTAATCAAGCTAAACATGCTTTTCTCCTTCTGTCCCTACAGGCTGATGGTCTCTTCTACTGAGCTCTGACAGGGCTGAGGATCTCTCAAATTTTAAATCAACTGTCTCCGTTTCAGCACTGTCCGGCTTCAGCCATCCAATGGAATTAGACATCATTACTTAATCATTAGTTTCCTGGCAGCTGATTGGCTTTTCAGCAACAAGAAACTGCCGTAAGTCTGTAGACTAGAAAGAAAGAAAAATAGGTAGCTTACATTTGTAGCACCTGGTGGAATAAAAGCTCAAAGGAGTTGAATTAAAAGACTTTCAGTGCCGCTACCCTCGTGCCAAGATGGATGAAACACATAACAACAGGACTTCCTTGGTTAAAGGCGCCAAGGACATCGCTAAAGAAGCCAAGAGGCAAGCTGCCAAAAATTTAAGCAAAACTGTTGATCGAGCCTCAGATGAATACTCAGCTCATCGCAGCTACAACCGTTTCCAGAATGAGGATGAAGAAGAAAACGACTACAACACTTACACTCAGCAAGATGGTCACTATGCTGACAACGCTGCGAACGATGAGGAAGGGGCCTCTAGTGATGCCACAGAGGGCCACGACGATGAAGATGAGATCTACGAGGGGGAGTATCAAGGCGTGCCTGCCCACAATGATGGGAAGCTGCGGGACGGTCAGGTGGCTCTGGGCCAGCCGGTTTCTGACAGCCTAAAAAGCCGCAAAGAGCTGGAAAATGAGAGACAGGCAGATGAGGAGGAGCTTGCCCAGCAGTATGAGCTGATCATGCAGGAGTGTGGCCATGGGAGATTCCAGTGGCAGCTGTTCTTTGTACTTGGGCTGGCGCTCATGTCAGACGGCGTGGAGGTGTTCGTAGTGGGCTTTGTCCTGCCCAGTGCAGAGACAGACATGTGTGTCCCCAACTCTGGTGCCGGATGGCTTGGTAAGGATTTGCATTACAGTGGAAATAACTTGGTAAAATATGCACACTTCTCCAAGTTATTTGCAGTCTATCACAGATACACTACAAACGCTAGTGTGTCTCACCTAATGTGCAAAAGAAGAAAACTAATTACCTATAAATATTTATGTATAAATAAACATCTATATAAATTCTTATCATTTTTTGCCCAGGTCCCCTTAGGGCTGTGGTTTTCAAACTTTTTCTGTCACACCGCCCTTCAGAAGCCAAAAAATTCAAGACCCCCTACCCCAACAGCAGTGGATTTAATTTCAATCATTAATAATTAGCAAAATAGTCTTGCTAGCATCAGGGCACTTTTGTTTGTGTGTGTCACCACATGAATCATATTCATGCAACTTTAGGTCTGCTCAAAAGCCATGACCACCCTGAAGTGGTTTCTGCGCCCCCCAGTTTGAGAACCACTGCCTTAGGGTCTCTGTACTCACATCAGATTCACATGTGTGGAGGCTGGATAAAATGCAGAAGCCTAAAGAGCAACTTGAAAATCAAATCCAAATTTCTTTCAACCATCAACATTCAACCTGGTGTTGTCAGCTTCGTAATATGAGTGATGACATCCTAGAGCAGTTTCGGTTATTTCACTTGAGAGATTTTTGTTTACATCCCTGCTTTTGTCACTGATTTGAAGTGGGCAAGACTCAACTGAAAAAAATTTCCTTGCACCAATTAGAGTCTAGACTCTGTAGACTCTAGAGTCATGCTAGCTGCTCTGTAAGACTGTACTTAGGCACAAAGGTGCTTTGAGCTAAATGCCAATATCTGCATGCTAACATGCTCACAAAGCTGATAAAGCTAATGTGCTGATGTTAAGTGGGTATAATGTTCACCAAGTTCACCAGCTTACTTTAGCTTGATAACATTAAATGTACTCATTTAGCAGACACTTGTATCTAAAATGACTTACCAGAGGTTTGAACTTCTGACCTTCTGTTCACAGGGATATAACACTGCTACTGCACCATTCAGCTGCTACATACAGTATTAATATTATCTTAATGTTAGCACTAAATACAAATTACAGATGTCGTTGACCAACATTGTCATCCCTAAATTTACATCTTATCAAACCACACCCTCACAAACAAGCAGATGTGTTTTTGCATCCAACTCTAAGAATATTTTTTATCCTGAATTTTATTTTGATTGTTTCTTATTTTGTCATACATATTCAATGTTATAAAGAAATACCTACGATTTAAAATCAGGTTCAGAAAACATCTGACCATAAAGCCTCATATTTACAGTAAAAGACACTACTTAATAGGATTAAACAGTACTTACAGTGACAACCAAGCATAACATGATGGAAAACAGTTGTGCCTGTGTTCAGTGATGGAAAGAGGAAGCAGGTTACAGCCAGCATGTATATTGATTTACTGAGTGAAGCTTAAAGCACTTAACTTCATCTCGCATGTTCTGAATCTGTATGTGAATTGTCTGAGATTTGGATTAATTGCCAAGAATAGTGTGACTGTCACACAGTCAAGATCCTGAATAGCTTATTAGTAAGTGAGAAATCGTGATTTTTAGGTATGGTGAGCCATCTAAAATTCATCTGGCACTGCTTGCAGAAGCGACAGATTCAGCTGAAAGTCAACGTTGCCGGCATAGAAACGGATTCTGATTGATGCCTTTGGAAGGAAGGATCTGACTGATAGAAATATTTGGGTGTTGATGAAATGTGTTTCACTTGCAGCAATCTGCTAATGCTGTGGGTTGTTTATGACATGCAGGGTTGTGCATGGAGAGTAGTGGTGGGTGACACTTTCAAATGTAATCTCACTGCTTTAGTAGTTTGCCAATGGGTTGTCATAGCACCAGGTATTTGGATACATGAGTAGGAGGTGTGTGAAGCTAGATGGATCTCTCCCACACTAGGGAAGAGTTGTGTGTTTGTATGTTTGAATGTGTGTTATTTGGCTTCATTATTCCTCTCACTAATATTAAGAATAGCTGCATAGCACTGGTCAGCTTTCTCAACATACAGTGTTAAATTAGAGCATTAGTCACTTGTCATTCCCATTCAAACATCAAAAGAAAAAAACAAACACCTTTTTTTGTCTTTTCACAATATGATTGTGTGGTTGTGTAACTAAAAAGAGAACGCTAACCTTGTTTGTTTTTTAGAGGCAGGATGTTTTATTATTCACCCAGATTTCACCCGTATTCTGACTCATCTCTCAGTGGGAGACAGGAGGGAGAGAATAGAAAGAATGAGTCATTTTACCAACTCACTCACACACTGCATAAATAATAGATGTGTGTATATGCTCACTTGTGAATGCACTTAGAGGAATGAACCTTACACAGTAGAAATGATTGTTGTTTTTTACCATCGTTTCTCTGTGACAGTTAGCAACTCTTTAAGAGGTCAATAAGAGCCTCTTCAGTGGACATCTGGCTTTAAAGAGACTGCAAATAATTGAGAAAAATAATTAAATATAGAAAATGATACAGAGATCATCCAGCAGAGTCAAATTTTTTAGCTGAAATTGTACAGAATGACCAAGTTTTAAGCATTATGGGGCTTATTAGAATCATTATAATGAGTGCATTCATTCAGATTAAATGAATCCTAATTGAAAATAACTGAAGCACATTATGTGCCTAAGAACCAAACAAATTAAATAACATTATAAAGAAACGTTGGAACAATGGAAGTAAAGCAATGTGCTTCATTATCCTTCCAAAATATTAAGTTTTGAAATCATAAGTTGTTCAAAAGAATCAGTGTTTTAACCTACTGAGATCATTGTATAATATTGTGTGTCATTACAATAGCAGAAGTAACAAATGAATTGGGGAAAATTAAAGTATTTAAATCAATAGGCAAAACACCTGCCATTGAAGCCCCAAGTGGTCTCTTCCTATTCTTATATTCTCATATAGGCTACAGTATGGGATCAGTAGCAGTAGAGTCTCGTATGGTGGTGTGCAGATGAGCCCAGAGGAGAACGTATATAAAACAAACTAAACTTTGTCACACAGTGCAGTGAGTTTGTTTATTTGAGCTCGTAATGCTTCCATCTTGATTAGTTAGCTTAGTCATATATAATGCTGAGAAGATGAGAGTTGTTCTTGAAAGCAGTACGTACCAAGGCAGACCAAATTTAAAAACGTATGGTAGGAAAGGTTTATCCAGTTGTTCTTTGACAGCACTAGTAATGACAGCAAACTTCAAAAGAAAGCACGTTAACATGGAGCACTGAAAAGTGCAAACGGGCTGGTGCTGATGCAAACACACTGTCCTCATCAGAGTCAAAGCTGTTTGAAGCACTGAAGGTGCTCAAATGTAGCAAAACTATCCTGAGTGGACTGTTTTCAGAGCCGTTACCAGCCACATCCAGACTAAATCCTGCCAGGAATATTCTGAAATGCATTAATAATGAATAGCATGCACATAAATCATTTTAAATAAAAAAATAAAGAAAAAATGCAAACATGAAATGGAAATTTACCTTTTAACAAAAAACTGCTTTGTATAGATTTATCTAATATTCCCAGAGCAGTTCTGAACATCTTCATTCATCACCAGTCTCCATTGTTGTCATTACACTTTGTAGTTTTCTTTATGACCATATAAAAAAGTTATATTATTGAAATCCAGTTATACTTTTTACTAGCATTTATCTCCATAATCTATTCCAAATACAGTGCCTTTTCTTAAAAAATTGCCTTCCCTTTCATATTATATAAAAGGTGAGATGCTATCGAGATATGGAATGTGCCAGTTTTTTTCTACCTGCTCTTGTCTGTCCTCTCTGTTACCCTCCTGCTGTAATCCCTCTCTTACACTCTCTCTGTGTCTCCATGCAGGCGATCTGAAGATATGGGCTAGAGTTAATCTCTGCAGCATTGTGCTTCTCTGCAGTTTAGCTATGGTAGACTGGCTCACGTACCTCCCCAGAGAAACAGAGGGAGAGCGCTGCTTTTATATACTTCCTATCAATGCCCCCCTCCCTCTTTTATCTTCCACCACATATAGCTCTAATTTGTCTGTGCATGTTTTCCTGCGCCACAGTTAGCATTTTGAGAATGTTCAGTGTTCAGTAAAATGCATGCTTGCAGATCTCAAGGAGTACATCTGCATTAGGGGAATGCATGGAGGCGCTTTGTGTCATGATGTGATGCCAGTCTCCTTTGCTTTGCGTATTGTGGTTACTTTACCTGTAAGACCACAAACACCATTAACAGTGCAGTTGAGTTAATCAACACAATGCAGTAATACATAGGCTCTTCTGCAGCCTGTTAGCTAATTAAAAAGCCCAGGGACAACAACATTTGCTACCACCTCTTCATTCACTGTCCTCCTCTCTTTCTCCTTCACAACAAAACACCACCACGGGATCTATTCACACATTCACTGTCCAGAGAAAGAAGTCACAATTTTTGTGTGTTTCTTGTAGTATGAAGTATTCATAAGAGTGGGCGACAATAAAAAGTGAAGAATTCACCTTGTAAGATCTCTCTGTCAGTGTGCTGATGTCAATGATCAAACTCTTTAGGTTTCTTTGGGTGACTAATTAGCTGATCAACATATCATTAAAAAAATATAATTGTTCTAGCTGGTGTAATTAGCTACACTGTGTTGAGGGATCATACTCTTTAATATTATCTGTGAGAAAAGATGCATCCATAAAGTGAAATCTTAAATGTTTCAGTTTTGAATAGAAGGACAAATGATTTTCTATGAATAACAGTATTTTGATACCACATGTAGGTCATATTGTAAAAAACAACAACTCACAAATAAGCCTTTGCCAATTATAAGTACAAGACATTGAAAAATGATGACATCTAGAAAATCTCGTCTTTGGGCAAAAGATTAAGTGTCAACAAACCAAAGGCAAAATGGCTGCAACGCTGGCAAGCATGTCAGCAGCCAGGAGTCGACAGCCATGCTAAATGCTAATGTCATGCACATGCTAGAAATGAGATGCCTACATCCTGAAATAGTC